CGCGGCGTCAGCCGCCCCGCGCGCCGGGCGGTGGCGCGCAGCAGGCCCAGCGTGCGCGCCAGTGGGTCGCGCTCGGGCGCCGGCGGCTCGGCCTCGGGCAGGCTGGCGGCGCCCAGGCGCCAGCGCAGCGGGACACCCGCCGTGAGGGGGGGAGGAGGGGCCGCCGCCAGCGCGACCCCGGGCTGCACGTACGTCATCCCGCACACCACCTCCATCGCCCGGGTTCCAGCAGTTCTGTGGGGGTGCGGGGGCGGCCAGTCCCGGCGCCGAGGGCGGGCTGGGGGCGGGGGAGGCGGCGCCCCCACGCGCCCGCGCGCCGCGGATGCCGGCGGCGGCACCGGCCTGCGCGGCCGAGCCAGCCGCGGGCTGGGGCGTCGTGGCGCGAGAGGACTGGCGGCTGCCCGGCCGGGAGGGGGCCTGGGAGGACGCCTGCGCCGACGCGCCACCTGACCTTTGAACTTGCGTGCTCGGCGCCGGGCGGGCGGCGGGCTGCCGCGCCTCGGACTCGGGGCCGGCCGCGGCGCGGCTGGGCGTCAGCGGGGACAAGCGGTGGGGGATACGGGCGCCCGGCGCGGGCGCTGCACCCCTCAGCAGCGCCAGGTCGTCGTAAGAGGCCAAGCACAGCGCAAAGGCGCGCACGCGCGGGAAGTCCCAGGGGCCGACGCTGCGCACGCCGCCGGGCAGGGTGGCCACCGGCAGGGTGGCGTGGGACACGGGGCGGGGGGGGAGGCCCCCGGGGGCCAGGACAGGCGTCGTGGCCTTCGGTTGCGTCGCTGCATCCGCGTCGGGCCGCCGCCGGCGTGCCGGTCGGGAGGCCTGGCTTGCGGCCGCTGCCTGAGCCGCGCTGGCCTCCTCTGCAGCCGCGGCGGCGGCAGCGGTGGGCTTACGCTTGCGCTGGGGACGCCCGCTGGCCGTCAGGGTGGGGGCCGGGGGGGTGTCGGGCCGGGGCGGGGCGGATGGCTGGCTCTGGGGTGGGGCAGACGCAGCCCGGGGTGGGGGAGGGCTCGGTGGGCGTAGGTTTAGGCTCTCCGGGCCACAGAGGATCAGGGGGAGTGTCAGGGAGGTCAGCTGGGGCCCCACGAGCTTGTATGGGGAGGGGTTGTGCTGGCCAGGCGCCTCCACCGGCCGGGCGGGGGCCTTCACGCGCATGCTGCCAGTCCTGAAAGGGAGAATGGATTCAGGGGCGCTCAACCTTGGAGTGGGAAGCATGATGGGCAGGGATGAAGGTCAGGCTGTCTGCCGGGGGTCATGCCGGCACACGATGCTGCGCGGGGCAAGGTGAAGAGAGAACCGACACGACGCACAGCCATAAGAGCGGCGCGGGGGGGGTGGCCTGTGCCAGTTACAGAGCGAGCATGAGGAACGTCACACCATCTGTCGGGCTTCGGGATGGGTGCCAAAGCAAACCGAAGGAATACACGATTGCGTGCATGGACGTCGTGGGGCGAAGTGCCGACCACGGCACAGGGTCAAGAGGCCCCGTGACGACAAGTTGGTCCTCTGCCAATGCGCGACATCAAATGGGACATGTTACAACACTAATTCCATTCCCAGGACCCTGCATCCGTCTCTGTCTGTCGCCCACCTTGTTGTTATTCGGGTACCCGTCGCCCGGCACGCCGGTGGCCTCTAGTGGTGCCGTCCTCAATAGCCCAGCCTGACCGGCTGGATAGCATGCAACAAACCGATTCAGACGTGCGAGAGTCTTGTGGGGGCTTGTTCACGTCCAGCATCATTGGAAGTCCATGCGGCAACCCCTAAACCCCGGTGCGCAAACATACATAGCGCCCTACCTGGGGGGACTAGTGCTCCAGGATGCCCAGCAAGCCTGCATGACCACTTGAAGCAGTGGCGCACTAAAGTTTAAATTTCAAGGGAGTGAAGAGTGATATTCTCTCACAACTGCTTGACCTCGGTATCCAACTGCAGCGCAGCTTGACGGTCCTTTCGTCTATCCCGCCGCGCCTTCTGCCTTCTGCCTGGTCTGGTACTCATTTGAGATCAGGGGTACATTGGGATATATAGCCCTTGAGATATCCTCCATTATGCTGGCTCGACGAGCGCTGCCCGTCGTAACCCTGTGTAGACTTCCGCGAGGTGAGCACCACCCGGTCAGCAAACCCACCCAACTTTTCCCATCGATTCGAGTCCTGGAACAAGCTCCGTGCGCTCCCCCATCAATTTATTACACACCCTGCAATCGTGCAGCGTTCGCGAGCCTGTCCACAGAGGTCGCCACGGGTGTGAATATCCTAAAGAACGGGACCGACCCAGCCCTCAAGTCCGACGAGGAGCTCCCCGCCTGGCTCTGGGAGCTGGCCCAGCCGGAGAAGCCCTTGACAGAGCTGCAGAGGCATGAGTTCACGGAGCTGCAGCCAGAGGAGGTGGGTGGGGGTGTGGCATGGGGTGGATTTGAGAAGAGTTCCCTGTGTGGCGGCCGCAAGTGGCCCGCGTCCACTGCTACCTGTCGTGCTCACCTTTCGCCCGCTCTCCCTTCCCCACCCAGCAACGGAGGTGGGTCAAGCTGGAGACGCGCGCCGGGATCAAGGCCAACAACGTCCTCAAGTCTGCCTGACGGAGCCTGGTGCTTGCTGGAGTCATTTTGCCCTCTCATCCCTCCCAATTCCCCTTCACTGCCCCCTGCTATCCGCCCTGCCATCTGCATGCTTCTTCTTGCAGGTGTCCATGCCCTCATCCCATGTCTGAGGATCGGCACTCGATCTCAAGGGATGAAGGGGAGAGAGGTGTGCGCACCACGCGGCATGGGTCTCGGGGGGGGGGGCGACGGATGAGGACACGCAGGCCTGTGGTCCGCCGTGCCAGGGAGCAGGAGGCAGGCCAGGGCGAGTGAAAGGTTCACGGGCTCGCGACGGGGGATCCTCTGCGTCTGCGGGGTGGACGCGGTCCAGGGGCTGCTGGGCCCGACCCCCAGGCCTCGCTCCCTCACACGGCCTCCAGGGCCTGGGCCAGGTCGGCCCAGATGTCCTCGGCCGCCTCCACGCCACAGGAGAAGCGGACGAGGCTGTCGCGGATGCCCAGGCGCGCACGCTCCTCGGGCCCCTGGTCCCAGTAGGACACGATGGTGGGCTGCTCGATCAGCGACTCCACGCCGCCCATGGAGGGCGCGATGTAGGGCAGGCGGCACGCGTCCACAAACCGCGCGGTGGCCCACAGGTCGCCCGCCACCTCAAAGGACACCATTCCCCCGAACCCGTCCATCTGCGCCGCGGCGATGGCATGGTCGGGGTGCGAGGTCAGGCCCGGGTAGTGCACGCGCGCCACGCGCGGGTGCTCCTCCAGGCGCGCGGCCAGCGTCGCGGCGGTGGCGTTGGCGCGCGCGACGCGCAGGTCCAGCGTCTTCATGCCGCGCAGGAGCAGGTAGGCGGCATGCGGGTCCATCACCCCGCCCAGCACGTTGTGCATGGCGCGCACCGCCGCCACCAGGTCCCCCCGGCCCGCCAGCGCCCCCGCCAGCACGTCGTTGTGCCCCGCCAGGTACTTGGTGGCGGAGTGCAGCACCAGGTCGGCGCCCAGCGCCAGCGCGCGCTGGTTGATGGGCGTGGCGATGGTGGAGTCGATGACAACCGCCGCGCCACGCGGCGCGCACAGCGCCTTGATGGCCGGCACGTCCACGCAGCGCAGGTAGGGGTTGGTGGGCGACTCGGAGAAGAAGAGGGAGACGGGGTGCGCGTCCAGCGCGGCGGCCAGCCCGCCCAGGTCGGAGGGGTCGATGACCGTGGCGCCAATGCCCATTTTGGGCAGCAGCGTGGCGATGAACTGGCGCGTGCGCCGGTAGCAGTCGGTGGTGGTCACGATGTGGCCGCCCGCGGGCACCAGCGCCAGCAGCATTGTGGTGGCCGAGTTCATGCCCGACGCGCTGACCAGGCAGTCCTCGGCGCCCTCCAGCGCGCGGATCTTCTCCTCGCACGCGCGCGTGGTGGGGTTGCCGTACCGCCCGTACTCGTACGACCCGAACCGGCCCTCCTGGTACGCGATCAGCTCCGCGGTGTCGCGGAAGGTGTACGTCGCCGTCTGCACGATCGGCGTGGTCAGCGAGTCTGTGGGTTGGTTTGGGGGGATAAGGGGGTGGAGGGGAAGGGGAGGAAGGGGATGGGAGGAGAATTGAGAGGGGGAGGGAGGGGTTGGGGTGTGAGTGAGGTGCCGCCGTGCCGTGGGAGTGGGGTGGGGAGGCTGCACGTGGAGGCTTTGAAAGGGAGGGTGCATGCGTGCGGGTGACAGGGAGGGGGCGCTGGGACAAAGGGGCCGCGCCTGAGGGCGAGGGCAGGCGACACGTATGCCAGAGGCACAGGCAAGGGGCCCAGGAATGGGGTCGCCACTCGGTTGTGGCATGCACGCTGGAGCAATGCCGAATGCATGCACGAGAAGGAGGGATCAGGGGGACAGGGCACAGAGGTCACCATGCCCCCTGCGCCCAGCTGCGAAGCATCGACCTCCAAACCACCCACTCCCACCCCCTTCCTCACTGCACCTGACACCCTGGGCCGGCCGGCCCGCTCCCCGCCATGCACCGCCAGGGTTCCCTGACAGAATTCCGCTTGTACGTGGCTGTGGTCTCGTTGATGAGCCTCCCCGCCATTCCCGTTCACGGCGTCGGGTGGGGGGGACCCCACCAAGTCTGGGGAGGCTGCCTGGGTTGGCGGTGCCAGGGCCAGGCGACCCAGAGGCTGTGAGGGGCGGGTGAAGGGGATGGATCGGCTCTGCCGCCCGGGTAGGCAGGGTCCACGGCGCTGGGCCAGGGGGGGAGTACACCCGTGGCAGGGATGTGCAGGGGATGAAGAGCGGAGCCATGGTGACCAGCCGCTGCCGCACAGGACAGGCGAGATTATGGCGATGCGGGGTGCCACAGGGGGTTGTATTTGGTGTGGGGGTGACCGGTGGGCCTCGGATCATCGGCATGCATCCCGGAGAGGTGTGTGTGTTGCCGCCATGAGCATCGCGGAAGCACGTGACCTTCTCTGGGGTTTGATGAGGACCCATCTCGATCAGCACCAGATCTCTACAAACCCCTTGGGATGTGCGACAGAGCGGGAAACCATGTCTGTCTGCGTTCAAAACTCGAATGTCACCGTCGAGGGCTGCTCTCCCACCGAGTGAGGTGCGGCACGGTGCAGCCGCAGTATATACGGCAGGTTGTTTGCCGCTGGTCAGCAAGGATGATGTCTGAACATGCCCACACATGAACTCCAGCGCACGTCCCCGCCTCAGCCCTTGACTTCTAGTTCCAGAGGGAAGTTCAAAATAACATTATCATCAGGCTCACACACTGCGTGCACATGATTACAATAAAGATTGGTCAACTAGGCAAGGCCAGGGACATGAATGGAGTACCCTGCTCAAGGGGGGGGACGGCGCAAGTGTGCATATGTAAACAGCAATCAGGGCGCGAACCACTCAATCGCATGGATAAAGCGGAAGGAGGCGGAGGCTGCCTGTACATGCTGACACGCAAGGAGGCGCCAGGCATGCGGCAGGGTTATGAGGGAGAAGCAAGCAACGTGCGACGGCTGCATTTTAGAGGGTTGCAATGGAAAAGGGTAGCAGAGTGCAACACGGGGTCAAGATACCCTCGAGGAGCGAACGGCGCCTGACTCGGCGCCCTATCAAAAGGTGTGGGGCGATGGAGAGGTTCAACAAGGAGAGAGCCTGAGTGGTGGTGGGGGCGAGGAGCCGCAGTCCCACATCCCGCAGGATGAAAGATTCGTGTGTGTGCCCGGGATGAGAGCCCGCCAGGGTGCCGCAATAGGGAACCTGCATGAGGGGGCTCTTGCCGCTCTCGGCGTCGGGCTGGGGCCAGGTCAGAGCACCTCCCACATGCCGGAGAAGGCCTCCGGCCCGCCCAGCGGCAGCGGGTCGGTGGAATCCAGGTGCAGGATATCCGGGTTCCAGCCCTCCTCCTGCCGCCACATCCCCAGGCTGGCGGCGGCCACGTCCAGCCCGGGCCCCAACCCCCCCTCGGCGCGGTCGGCCAGGGGCAGCCAGGGTGCGAGCGGCGCGCCGGGGTAGGCGGCGGGGGCGAGGTGGGAGGAGTCGGAGCGGTGCACTGGCGACCACAGGCCGCAGTCCGCGCCGCTGCCGGCGTAGTGACCGCTGGGCGGCCGGCCCAGGGAGCGCGAGGGGGGGAAGGGGCGCAGGGGGGTGCCGCGCAGGCGGGTGAGCTCGTACTCCCTGATCGACCAGGGCACTGGGTAGCTGGGCAAGATGAGGTCCAGCGCGGCCGGGCGCGGCGCGGGGGTGGGCGCGGCAGTTTCCACCTGGGCCGAGGCCTGGCGGTGCAGGTCGCGGCTGGAGGGCGCCCGGCACTGCGTGTCTGCCAGCTCCGAACCGGCGCAGCCAGGGCTGGCGGTGCCCTGCGGGTGTGTGAGGGGTGGGGAATGTGACGATGTGAGGTGCTCAAGGGGGTGGGACTGCGAGGTCGAGGAGCGAGGGTTCCACAGGTGAGGCTGGGTAGCGCTTCGTGCCGACTCACGCTGGCATGTTTCTGCGGGCAACTGTGCACAGTGCCAGCCCCTGAAAACCACCACCCCTTCAAGCCAGGCACCCTCCCTGACTCCCTCCCATTCGGGCCCGCCACGCTCACTGACCCTGGAGCTGACGCTGGCAGATGCCTGGGAGGGGGTGGCGTCCCGCTGCTCCACGACCGGCAGCTGGACCTTCATCTTGCGCTTCCGTACGCGCCCCTGGGATCCCATATACCGGGACCACTCCAGCTTACTGGCCTCCGACTCTCGCACAAAGGGCGCCCGCTGGTCGTGGGGCATGGCGCGCCAGGCTTCCCCCGCCGCGGCGCATAGCGTGCGCTGGTGGGAGAAAGCCGAGCCCACGCTCGACTGCGAAATGGGAGCCGGGATAAGGAACGGTTGAAGGAGGGAAGGTATAGGATGTGTGCAGGGTGAAGGGCGGGTCGCGGCCCGATCCAAAGGAAAAGTGCGCAGGTGTAGCCCAGAATGCAGGCATGTAAGCGGCGGGACCGGCGGGCCGTCGTACGACAGAGACCCCAGGCCGGCGGGGTGCCGGCGGGGGGGCGAATTTGCCTCCTACCTTGTACAAAGATCTGCGAAGGGACGGGAGCGGTGGGTCAGGGGGCCTACATGATCGGTACGATGACAGTCGGCGCCGGGTCCGGGCATGGGGAGGCTGCCCCGCACAGCACCTCGACTCACCGATACAGCGACAGGAAGCACAGAAACGCGGATTTGGGTCTTCGGGGACCTCTGGGCTCCTCCTGCAGTTCCATGGAGGTCCATCGACATGGGGTTGGACATCGGTGTGCATGTGTGTACGGATGGGCATGGAAATCCTCGGATACCCCCCACCTTCCCGTGTATTGGTTGATCCGCCTCCATGTATCAAGAAAGGACGTGGCCCCGCCCCATTGCAGGCATGGGACCAGCCGTCAGGGATCCCACAGCCTACCTGGGCACCAGACTTGGAGCTAGGGGGGTTGCTGGAAACAGTTCTCACTCGAGCCCGCTTCATGGTGTCCGCGGGCTGGACGGTGCCACTGCCGTTGCCTGATCTGCCCACTGGAGACTGAAACGCTAATAGGTGATCAAAGTATCGCCCATGACCATCCTATGGGAGTATGAATGTCATCAGAATGTTCTTGTGAGTATGGCTATGGAGGCGGATGGAGTTCGGCCGTGTATGGGCTGTATGGGGCAGTATGACGGGGATACTTTCCGAGCAGAAACCCAGCAAACGGACGCGGAAACCGCCTGGGTTGGGCCAAGGCCGGCACACCAGCCGTACTGCAGGCCAGTGGTTCTTTTTGGACCAGAAGAGGAGGCACGATGACATCGTGACATTGCCTGGACCGCAAGATGACGTACCTGTTGCAGCTGGAGATGCCCGCCAAAATCCCAGCGTCGACACATATGCATTCATGGTGACCGCACGATTTCGGAACGGGCCTTCTACGAGCTCCTGGGCGGGCGGCCCCCCCCCAGCCTTTCCTGCATGGGTTTCAGAAGGATGCCTGCCATTAGCCGGTGGGTTCTAATGGCTGTGCCACCCCTCCCCCTCGAGATCATGCACGTGCCGCCCGGACTCCCATGCGACCCCCTCGGATGCCGCCGGAACAACTCACGTATGACAGGAATGAATGGGAGCCGGAAATCCAATCGGGTGTGGCCCGCGAGTGCACAATGGAACGCGTCGGACACATCTCCGCCGCGGTCAACTCCGCTTCCAGTATGAAACGAAGTGGCGGGTATGAGGTGCAGAGATTCGGACTCGTGTCACATGTCAGGTTCGCGTGGCTGCGAGGCTTTCATACTCTACAAGTCATACTGGGCAGGGCAAAAGAATGGGAAGACCGAGTTGGCAAGAACACGGCATGCTGGCGGCACGCAGTAACGCAATTACAAGGATGTCAAGGCGGCAGTCGATCGTGGGCGGACCCCCGGCACGAGCCCAGGGTCCCCCCCTCACCGCTGCGCAACGGCGCCGCGCCCCAGCCCCGGCCTGGTGCCGATGTCCAGCGCCCCCGAGTGCCGCGAGCAGGGGCGCACGGGCATTAGGGCCTCCGAGGACACGGGGCTGGGCTCCGGGCTGGCCAGGGACGCGGCCAGGGCCGAGGCCAGGGGCGAGCCGCTGTGCGGCTGCAGGCTGCAGGAAGACTCCAGCGCCGCATGGCGGTCGTCCAGGCTGCTGGCCCGCCTGCGGTGTGGTGGGAGTGTTTTATTTTTTGTGTGTGTGAGGTGGGGGGTAGGTTGGGGTCTCCAGTCGCATGGGGCCAACGGGTCAGACCGACGCCCGAGGCAGAGCCGGTGGAGAGAGTGACGTGACAGGCGACACCCAAGCGACACGGCCCTGTAGCCCTACCCCCCGCTGCAAGCTTCAGTGCGTACGACCCAAGCCACCAAAAGAATACATGCCGAGCTGCCCCAGCCCCCGTCGCAGCACGCCGCCGACTCACCACGCAGCGGCGGCCATGGAGCCCTCAGAGCCCAGCCTGGAGAGGGAGCCCGACATGCTGGTGGGGAGCCCCCCCCGGACCTTGCCCTCGTGGGAGCCCCACTGCAGGATGTCTCGCGCCTGGCAGGGGCAGGGAAGCGGGGGGTGGGGGGAGGGGTGAACATCCTCGCACCTGGAAGCGTGTTCCTTGATGCTGCGGCGGGCGACGCTGCTGCGGCGGCTGGGCGCTAAACCCCCGGCACCCCGGCCTGAGCATCACGCCCCCTCGACCCACGCTGGGTGCCCTGGACGCGGCGGGCAGGACCCCAGCACACTCACCGACGAGCGCGACTCCAGGAGGCTGGTGTCCCCCGAGGAGGGGTAGGCCTGCGGTGGCGTGCGGTGCTGCAGGTGGGTATCCTGACGATGGCCCCAAGGGGGGGGGGGGCCGAACACGTTGCAACGCAGCCCTGGGGCTGGGGCCTGGGTGCGACTCGCAGCACTCAAGCCAAGGCTGGGACCTCCCTTGGCCCGTGTGCCGGGGCGCAGGCCAGCGCCGGGCCCGCCTGCATGCATGCAGGGTCTTCACTGGCCCCTGAAAACCCGTGTGTCACACCCCTGGAACCCCCACACCCACCCAAACCCTCAATGCCTCACCCTGCGGATGGGCCTCAGGACCTCCTCGTTAGACACGCTGGAGAGCCCCCCCGGCGAGGGCGGCGTGGCCTGAGACGCCTCCCGCTCCCCGCCCAGACCAAGGCTCGGCTCCCGGTTCAGACCCAGGCTCGGCTCCCGGTTCAGGCCCGGGCTCGGCTCCCGGTTCAGGCCCGGGCTCGGCTCCGCGCTCAGCCCCGCGCTGCTCCCGCGTTCGCCCCCGACGCCCAGGCGCAGGTGGCTGCGCGTGTCGAACAGCCCCGCGTCGCCGCGGTCAAAGGGCGTGGCGCCCAGCAGCGCGGCGGCGGCGTGCCGCGCGACGCTGCCGCGTGCGGTGCCGAAGAGGTGCAGGAAGTAGTCGCGCGGCGCGTGGGCGCAGGGGTTCAGCGCCGGGTCGGCCAGCCAGGCGGCGTAGGAGGCGTTGGCCTCCTCGTTGCTGGCCGCCGCCGCCGCCAGCTCGCGCGGCACGGCCCAGGAGGAGTGCTCCGGCCCCGCGGCGCGCAGCGGCGGCGGCGGCGGCGCCAGGTGCAGCACCACCGCCGCGATGTCGTCGACCAGGGCCTCGCGGCGCGCGCGCTTCCAGCGCTCCAGCGCCTCCAGCGTCAGCGCCTCGCCCACCGACACGCCCGGCAGACGCAGCGCGCGGTACCGCGCCACGAAGGCCGCCACGTCGGCGTCGCTCATCACGTCCCACACGCCGTCGGAGGCCAGGACCAGGGCCAGGTCGCGCTCCTCCAGCACGTGCCCCGTCAGGCGCGGCGTCGCACAGACGCCCAGCGTGTGCGCCGCGGCGTCGCCCAGGCTCCGCGACATGGCCAGCCCCGGGGTGGTGGACCCGGGGTCGGCCGCGAACACGCGCGGCACGTCGTCGGGGTCGTCGGTCAGGCGGCGCACCGAGCCCCCCGCCGCCGCGATGCGCGCCGCCTCCTCGGGATCGTCCGGCTTGGCGTCGCGCGTCAGGCGCAGCGCCTCCGCCGGCGCGTTGCCGCCGCCGGCACCGGCGCGCACCAGCACCGCGCGCGAGTCGCCCACATTGGCCACCAGCAGGCGGCGCCCCGCCAGCAGCGCCACGCAGGCCGTGGTGCCAGAGGCGGAGGCGTCCAGACCGGCGTCGCCCTGCACCAGCCCGGCGTGCACCTCCAGGCAGGCGGCGGCCAGCGCCTCGGCGCGCGCGCGCGGCCGCCCCGCGCCGCCCAGCCCGGGGGTGCGCACCGCGCGGGAGGCCGCCAGCGCGCGCGGCAGCGCGCGCGCGGCATGCGTTGCTGCCGCGCGACCGTAGGGACCGTGCCCGTCAAACACGCCTGCGAAGACCTGGCCGGGCACGCCGGCGAAGCCGTCCAGCACCACCGCCTCGTCCTGGCAGTCGGCCTTGAGCCAGCGAGAGGCCGCCGCGGCCGCTGCACGCTGACTGGGGTTGGCCTCCTGCCCCGCGGCGCCCGCCACCCAGTAGAAGGCGGGCCGGATCGCGACGTCGGCAGGGCGCCGGGCAGGGGCCACCTCCTCCTCGCCGCCCGCGTCCTGCCCCATCTGCAGGCCTGCTTGTGTGCGGGTGTGAAAGAGGGGGTGGGGTCTGGTGGGGGGAAGGGGCCTTGCCGATGGCGGTGTGCCGCCTGTCATCCTCCCAGCGCGGCACGGCCAGGGGGACTCCCGCCGGCGGATGTACAGGACGACCAGCCTGATGGGATCAGGCGCCCATGGACCCCAGACTGGGAAAACATTGAGGGCTTGACCGCAGGCAAGATCAAGTGCCAGGAGGAAGGCAGGGGACCCATGCCGAGCCAGTCGAACACAGGGGCCACCCACAGCCGGCCTCTCACCCTGCAAGATAGGCTGTCCTCTACAACACCCTTCCCCATCCTCCTTGCTGCACAAGGCCCACCTATGCACGACAGGATGGACTTGAAGCGGCCGCCGTGCCCGCTGCCGCCCGCCCCGCCGGCCACGCTGGGGGAGTGCACCGAGGCGCCTGAGCCGGGGTCACTGCTCCCGGCCTGGGACAGGTCCAGCGAGGGCATGGAGTGGATGAGGGGGAACACCCTGCTGCCATGGACCTTGTGATCCAGCTCATCCATGGTCAGGGGGCAGCAGATTGGGGAGGCATGTTTACCGGGAGGATCCCCGAGGCGGAGGTCGCTGGAGACTCCCAGCTGCACCAGGGGTCGAGGGGGCCGTGTGTTGGGGGGTGGCAGGCCAGGGACGACGCTCTGGGTGCAATTTGATCCAATATTACTACCATGTCATGGCGGATGAAGGGGGCTGCGGGTCTACGAACAGGCTCGCCCAGCCCACGGCCGAGGCCATACAACCCTCGTCCACCACCCGAGAGTAGGGACCCCTCTCGTCTCACCGTATTGCCTGTGCAGGTCGACCCGCGCCCTGTCCAGACTATCCAACGCCCCTAAAATCGGTTTTAGTGAGGCCCCCGGGACTCGCCCGTTGCCCAACAGCTAGCGCAGAGGTGACGGGGGTTGGCGCAGGCGGCCAGTGCTCCGCAGATTCTAGGGTTGAAGACGCTCTTTAACCGGTGTACCGAAGCGGAACGCAGTCAGTCTGTTCACATGCACGGCATGTCAGGACGGGGGGCAGCGCGAGGGGGTGCTGAATATTGTCGGGAGGACGCGCGATTACCGGGGGCAGGGGGACAGCCCCCACCACTTAGTTGAAAGAAATCGGTGCGATCTACACCCCAAGGTGAGTACCGGCCATCGCGCACAATACTCAGCGTGGTTCTACCGGCGCTTTCTCGTGCATTGCTACGGGATATTGCGCGAAGTGCAACGTCTGGGAGGGTGGTATGTTCTCACTCTGGTCCAGGTTGCCGGGTCGCTGTGCGGAGAGGTGGGGCCTGCGCCAGCCTTGGCTCTTCCAGCTGAACCCTCGATATAGCGCAGGAACGACCCATTGTCCATAAATATTGATCCGTCATGCCATAATCTGGGTAGGAGCAGGGATTCCTTGACTCACGCGCCCGCGTTCTGCTACTAGCTGCCCGACTCGCCAGGCAATCCCGAGGCAGGACTGCAGGACGGGGCATAATTGTAAGCCGCCAACCCCCAATGGGCTCGTCTTGTTGGGCAATCTGGGGACTGGTACATACTCCCAAAGCGGGCTCTTAGAATACACGGCTCCTTGCCACTTCGCACTGGGACCCCCACATAAAAACAAGATTATGGAATGGCACAACAAGAACTACCAGAATGCACCCATCTCGTCCATAGACCCTGGAAAATCCAGTCTGTAGTATTAAAGATTGATGGACTTATTCTTGTTGGCACCTCGTAGCCAGAGGCCTGCATTCCTCTGTATGAGGGCATGCTTTGCTCTGAAGAGCACAGCCTCTCAGCAGCTGTGCCTGTTGTACTCAGGTCAGGAAGAAGTTCCACTCATTTAGCTGAAAGTCAGGGACATGGCGCCAGACATGTTGGTGATTTCCGCCCTGCCCTGTTTCCTAACGATGTCAAGGACACTGCGACACTTTGAATTGCCACGTGGGGCAACACCATAGGTGTAACGCTGCTGTTATAGAGAAGACTCGGTCCCCATGTGCGAAGCCTTTACTCAATGAAGATCACTTCTCACCCTTCTGGTTTTGGTAACAAGGTCGGTGCTTCAAAGGAGGGTAGACAACGGCGCCCCTTATTGAAATCGCACGTTGAATGCACACCGCGCGCTGTACGACAAGCTTCATCGTACGCGGGTGTCCTCCCGCCGGAAGTCTGTACTAACTATCTAGGTGGCTGCGCAAATTACTGCCCCCGTGTCAGGCTTCGAGTCTTCCCGGCTACATCGCGGACCGACTCGAACTCAGGCAGCGGGCGGGCCGGAGGGCGACGGCGGGGTGGCTGAGTCGTCCGGACGAGCCGAAACCCGGACGCAGGATGGGAAGACTGCGCATGTCGGCAGCTCCGTACACAACTCAGGGGCAGGAAAGAGCTGCCACACACCTTGCCAGATCATTTGTGTAAGACCAATTGTACAACACGCAGGCGGTGTCGAAATGCACGGCGTCCGCTCTCCCCGTGCATACTCGTCAGTGTCGGTGCCACACACCGCCATACCACCATACAGACGATTCTTGACAACGCAATAGCCCGCAGACGCAGATGAGACTTCAGCAAGTCACTCAAATCTTCAATGTTGAACACATCACTGCCTAAAGCCTGGCGCATTCTACTCTGGCAGGGTGCGCACTGGCTGTAAAAATGACGTCCAAGGTTGCCACATTCCACACCGTTACATCAGTGCCAGAGGGGCCGCCAGACCCTTAGTTCATGGCTACATGATGGGTAACATTGAAGAGCAAGTCTGGCAGGGAGGGCTCCAAGCTGCAGGCCTACTCATTCCGAGTTAAGGAGCTGCGTGATTGTGCAATCAGGATGTGATTTGTTTCAATACATTTTGGACCCAGGCTTCCGTGTCAAAGGCTGTGCACTTCCGTGGCCTTTTATAGGTATGTGGCCATTGTTTGTGACTGGTCAGAGGAGTAGAGGATTGCATGGCCCTTAGGCCTTTAAGAATCCCTTTGAATCACTGGGCCTGGAACTCTCTCGAGGACAAGATTGACTGCAACAGAACGCCAAATACCCACATCCCAAACCTTCGAGTCCTTGTCTGCACTCCCGCTCATCCAGCTGCCCCGCGTACGCAGCGTCAGCTGCGACTGGGCATGCGCGGGCGGGGATGAAGACTGCCCCCCCGTCGCACTGCACTTCTGTCTGACAGCCCACGTGAGGCAGCCAGACAGCTAGCCCGACGGGGTGTATATATACCGAGGACGGCGGCAGCGGGTCAACAAAACGCACTTTTATTTCATTCCAAACATTCACACAATTTGCAGCAATGTCGCGCCTCCAAAGTACTCTCGTACTCTTCACTGCCTGCCTGGTCCTGCAACAATGCGCCGGCGCTCGTCCCGGTTACGCACGGTAAGCGGTCGTCACATCCTCAACCCAGCCCACCCCTTCGAACCGTGATGCACATCCACGTCATACATTGCTTCGTTCATGTGTTTGTTCACCTTTGTACCTGCGTCGAATTCGCATCCATGTTCCTTTTCCCGTAGGTCGCTCATGGCGACGGCAGCAGCCGGTCCGACTGAAGCAGCTACTTCACTGAACGACTTCGTGCAGCAACTGACGGATGCCAGGAATTCAGGCTCCAACGTCATCAGTGTGACGAGTCCCTCAACGCCCACCAACTCCGGCTCTCCCATGAGTTCGCCCCCAACAACTGATTCCGGCACTCCTCCCCCCTCGAAGTCGCCCTCTTCCTCGCCGAAGAAATCCCCGTCAACCTCACCGTCCCCCGTGGTCTCCCCCTCCCCATCAACCGTGGACTCCCCCTCCCCATCAACCGTGGACTCCCCACCTTCCCCAGTGGAGTCCCCCCCACCTTCCCCAGTGGAGTCCCCCCCACCTTCCCCAGTGGAGTCCCCCCCACCCTCCCCAGTGGAGTCACCC